CAAATTGTGGTATGTACATGTACAGAATACTATTCAGCCATTAAAAGGAGTGAAGTTCTGAGACATATTGCAACATGCATACCTTAAAAACTTTTTGCAGGCCAACGATATAGCTCACTGGCACCTGGCAAGCACAAGCTCTGAGTTCAATTCCCAGTGTGAAAATAAAAAAACAAAAAACCTTTTTACTAGCTAGGTGTGGTGGCATACGCCCATAAACTCAGCACTCAGAACACTGGGGCAAGAGGGTTGTTGCAAGTTTGAGACCAAGCTGGTCTACAAAGTGAACTCAAGATCAGCCTGAACTGCACACCAAGACCCTTGTCTCAAACAAACAAAAAAACCCAACTTTTTGCTAAGTGACATAATCCAGACGCAAAAGGACAACAGTAGATGAGTCTACCTAATGTGAAGAACCTGAGAGGCAGAAAGCAAAGTAGAATACAGCAGGGACTGGGAAAAAAGAAGAATGAAGAGTTGTTGTTGAGTGGGGAAGGGGTTTCAGTCTGCATGATACAGAAGTTCTAGAAATGGACAATGGTGGCAGTTGCACATTATAGTAAATTAACTTAGGCTATTAAAGGAGAGATCCTTGGGCCTGGGCATGGCAGCACACTCCTCTAACTTGAGCACTGGGGACTCTGAGGCAGGACGATTGCAAGTTCAAGTGTGCCGAGCCAATTTAGCAAGACCCTGTCTCAAAATAAAAATAAACACTCAGGAGGCTGAGGCAGGAGGATCACTGCGAGTTTGAGGCCAGCCTGAACTACATAGCTAGACCTTGTCTGCAAAAAACAAAAAAAAACCACTGAACTGTACAGGTAAAAATTGTTATGTATATTCTACTACAGTGAAAAACTAGAGGCAGTCTTGGAGAATTAGGAGGATCTCAAGTTCGAGCACAACCTGGGCAACTTAGCAATTTAGTGAAACCCAGTCCCAAAATTTAAGAAAAGGGCTGAGTCTGTGGCTTCGTGCAGAGGCCCTGGGTTCAATTCCCAGGATTGCAAAACAAAACAAAAACCTGACATTATTCCATCTCACAAAGTCACACATTTGCCAGACATTCCAGAAAAAATTTTCGAACGTAAAAGAAGATAGACCATCCAAGTGCTTTTCAAAACTGAGTCAGTGAGTTAAATTTGGGACCTGAAGAAAAGAATGAATTATTGCAATTTAGATCTTAATTATACTGGAGTAATTAAAGAATAGGGAGTTTATCATCACTTTATATTAAGATTAAAGAATATCTGCTGTTATGCAAGAAGAGGATTCTTTCTTACTGCTCACCACAACTTTTTTGTTTGAGGTAGCATTTTTAAGTTTAACCCAAGCTGGGCATGGTGGCACACGCCTGTAATCCCAGCACTTGGGAGGCTGAGGCAGGAGGATCATTGCGAGTTCAAGACCAGCCTGGGGTACAAAGTGAGCTCAAGGTCAGCCTGAACTGCATAGCGAGACCCTGTCTTAGACCAAAAAAAAAAAAAATTTAAGTTTAACCTAATTTAAAATAAAACAAAAACAATACATTCTATGGTATACCAGATATGCACAGAATATGTCAAAAAAAAAAAAAAAAAAATTTAAGTTTAACCTAATTTAAAATAAAACAAAAACAATACATTCTATGGTATACCAGATATGCACAGAATATGTCTTCATATGTTCTAGACTGGAGTAAATTTAGAGTAAGAAAGCACAGCTTTTGAATTAAATAAAATCATTACTAAGTTTTCTTTTTGTGCTGTGATTTTTCATATTATATTTAAATATGACATCATATTTGATTTTAACTTTGTGTTTAACTTGAAAATCCAGTGTAGAGACACAGAAGCATCATGCCAAGTAATAATGTAAAAGGTATTTCTTATAGTTGGTCATTATTATAAAGACAAAAATTTGAAAACACTTATAAACATTCTGCAGTTTTTATTGTGATTTCTTCTTTGACCCAAGGGTTGCTCAAAAAACTTTGAATTCTTCATGTCATTTTTGTTTCTATTTTTGTTTTTCGTGTTTTACTTTATGGTATTGTAGCTATAGGTTATTCTATACTGTTTTTCCTTATTGGGAAAAAAGATATATGCTCTATTGTCGTGGTGTATATATATGTTCATGTACTTACATATTAGGTAAACTTTATTATTATATAGTATTTGTATACTTACATTTAAAACTTGTTTTAATTTCTTTTACTTTAGTTTTAAGTGCTTCCACTTATTTATAAAAATAGTACAAAGAATTTCTATTGTGATACCCTTCTTCAGAGTCTCCAAATGTTAACATTTACTACATTTACTTTGTGATTCATTTCTCTTCGCTGCATCCTTTCCCTGCCTTCCTCCTCCTCTCTCTTGCTCTCCCTCCTCCCTTCTCTCTCACTCCTCCCCACATTCACTCAAGTATTTTCACCACAATTTTAAGTGGAGAATACTCCTAGGTGTGAACAGTCCATGTATTATATCATTCTCTACATTCTAGCTTCTTTACGATGTATGATCCAAGGGGTGGTTCACTGGCCAGTAAGTGGGAGGTGAAGAATAAAACATTCGCACTCTTTCTGAATAGAAATTCCAGTCCATGTGTCTCCAAGACCAGGAGAAGGTGTTTTCTTCCAGTTGTGTTGCATAATACATACAGCCTTATATGCTCCATATGTCTCAGGCACACGTCCTGTTTCAGGTGCAGTGAGTTGGAGCTTTCCTTAAAATAATGAAGTTCTGCTTCTTTCTAATATTGTTTCCTTCTTCACAAAGATCTGAGGATGAGAAGTTTTTAAAAAGACTTTCTCAAGGTTACTTGGTGGGAAAGGATCCCAGCGCTCCCTGTTTCTACAGAGAAGAAGGAAACAAAAAATTCCAGGAGAAGAATTACAGTGGAGCTGCAGTGCTGTACTCTAAGGTAAAGTGCTCTCAGCCCAGCATTTCAACACATTTCTGCAGAAGATAGAGCCATATTGCTAAACTTCATAGCCAGTGTTATTTTTGTTTATATATATATTTTTGTGGATTGGATTTGAAAAAATAAATTGGCAGAATTCTGCTGTTGGTTATATACTAGAACAAAGGTTACTTTTTTAAATAGGCTTTGTGGCATTTTTAAAATTTATTTATTTATTTATGGGTGCCAGTAATTGAACTCAGGGCCTCATGCTTGCCAGGCAAGTGCTAGACCACTAAGCTAAATCCCTGGCCCAACAAAGGTTACTTTATATGTCCTGAATTTCATCAAGAAATTTCTACTCCCATGTTCCTTCAGACACCTCTGAGCAGTAGGCTTATTCGCCCCTGCCCCTGCCTTGTATCTGTCAGCTCTCACTGAATGATACACCTTTTTGTCTGATGGATGAGGCTATTAGCTTGATAGCCCTGATTTAGAGGACACCAAGATTTTACCTAACTACAGTGTTAACTTATAACCAGAATGACTTAAATTAGAAAAGAAAATGGATTGTTTTGCCACAGCCCAGCTGATCTCCATTTTGAAGGTTATCTGAGAACATATTAATATAAGTGTCAATCCCTGGGCATGATGGCACATGCCTGTAATCCCAGCACTAGGGAGGCTGAGACAAGAGGATCACTGTAAGTTTGAGACCAGCTTGGGCTACAAAGTGAGTTCAAGGTCAGCCTGAACTGCATAGTAAAACCCTGTCTCAGAAAGACCAAAAAAAAAAAAAAAAATTAGCGTCAGTCAACAAATGTTTTCAATTATGCTAACCATCAATGAGATAGCTTTTTGAGAAATCATGGCTTTTAACAATCTAGGACTATTACTGACCTGCTTCCATGGTAGGAACTAGAACAAGATCCTCTGAGAGACTTCTTTGATCTCTCCTTTGAGAGATCTGTATGTACTTAAAGCAAGAATATACCCCTTGCATCGAAGGTCTGTGATCTTGTATGGTACATTAAAAGAATGAGAGGAAGGGTTGGCTGTGTAGCTCAGTGGTAGAGAGCTTGCCTAGCATGCGTGATGCCCTTAGTTCAATCTCCAGCACAACTTAATTAATTAAGAGTGTAAATTTGAAGGACATACCTCTGAAATCTTTAACAAGCTATGCCCAAAGTTTGGATTTAATTTTCCAAAAACTATCAAACCTTAAATAGCTTCTACTGATGATAAAAGGCCTGCTTTGTTAGCATTTAGCTAAATAATATAAGCTTTAATGGTTGTTGAAGGATTAAAATCCATTAGATATGATGATACAGTGATAAATGGCTTAGCAGTTCTTTTTTAGAGCTAATCTCTTCAACGTTATGCATGTGTATCATTAGTGTGATCACGTGGAAAGCTGTTCAAGGTAAAAAGTGAAGTCAGAGAAAAAATTTAAGGTTTGCTGTAGATATGGAGGGAGATGAGCTTCCTACTTCATGAAGCTAGTGCTTTGGTGGTTATGGTATTTTGCAATTTTCTTGAAAGCTGGTATTTTCTTCCTTTTTTAAAGTAATATTTGTCCCTTTCATCTGTAAAAGTAATATACGTTACTGTGGAAAATATAGAGAAATTTAAGGAATTAAAAAAAAAAATCCCATAACCAGTCACAGGCACTGCTAACATTTTTTCTTATATCCATCCAGCCAGACTATTTCCTATGAAAATATGTTTTTCTTGTACAAAATTGGGGTAATGTTGCACTTAATGTTTTGTAACCTGCTTTCTTCCCCCTCAAGAATTTATTGTGCCCATTTTCTCGTGTTATTAAATTTTCCACTAGAACATGATTTTTTACGACTGGCTTAGTGTTCCATTACAGAGAAGGAATGTACTTAATTTAACATCTAATGCTGGCATGCATGTTTGGTATCATCATGCTACAATGAGCATCTTTCTCCATAAGTATTTATATTATACTGATTGTTTCCTTAGGGTGAATTAATTGAAAGGTAATTGTTGGGTCAAAAGGAATATAATTTTTAAACCCTTTACTATTTGATGTTGAATTGTTCTCCACAAAAGAACTAGTTAACATGCTTTCTGACAGAGTATAGGAATGTTCATTTCTCCATAATTTAAGTAGTGCTAGTTATTATAGTTTTATTAAAATCAGATCTGTTTATTTTGGAAAAGAAAATATATTCACATAGTTAGATTTCAAAAGTTGTCTGTTCTATTTCTGTCATCCCTAGTCACTTTATTTAGCTCCACAAGCTAGTACTATTAAATATATTCTATTTCAGGCGTATATCAATGAATAAAATAGCCGGGTACAGCAGTATGCACTCCATGAGTCTGAAGCAAGAGGATCACTTGAGCTTAGGGGCTTCAGACCAGACTGGGCAAGACCTCATTTCTTTACAAATTTTAAGGAATAAAAAAACAGGGCTGGGCCATGGCTGAGTGGTAGAGCATGTGACTAATGTGTACAAGGCTCTGAGTTCCATCCCCAGAACCAACATAATTTTCTACTCCTGTGCATACACTTTCATCATACATAAATGGTAACGTTCTGTATGTACTGTTCAGCACCATATTGTTGGTATTTAATCATAGTTTGAGGGCTGAGAACATAGCTAAGTAGTAGAATGCTTGCCTAGCAGAGCACAAGGCCCTGAGTTCAATGCCTAGCACTGCAAATAACAACAATAATAATAGTTTGAAGATCATTCCACATCAATAGGTAAAGAGATTCCTCATTCTAGCCAGGCACAGTGGCATACGTTCTTAATCCTAGCACTTTGGGAGGCCGAGGCAGGAGGACCATAGGCTTGAGCTCAGTGTAGGCAATTTAGTGACTTAGCAAGACCCTGTCCCAAACGAAAAAACATTTTTAAAAGGTGTATGGATGTAGGTTAGTGTGAGACCCTAGATTCTATCCCTAGTACTGCCCCCCCATATTCTATGATGAGAAACTTTCATGTATGTCATTTTACATATATATTTATAGGATAAATTCTTAGAGGAGGAATTGCTCTATCAATGGAGATTTTATATGTATATATAAAAATGTAGTATCTAAAACTTTGATATATAGTGTTTGGTTGCCCTTCATAATCATCTGACCAATTTATAGACCTACTAGCAACATAATAAAAATGTCCTTTGTCCTATCCTTTTCCAACTCAATGTGCTATCCATTATTTTTCCTTTGCCAAATCGATAGGTGAAAAAGGGTACCTCAGTACAGTTTTAATTTGCATGGTTAATGATGAAGCATTTTCCCAAATGTTTAAGAATGATTTATATTTCTCAAAAGAACTGTCCATACATGTGCATATTTTCCTGCTGAAGTATTGGTTGTCATCTTATTGATCTGTAGAAACTCTTGATAAAGAAATCAGCTCTTTGTGTGTAATAGGGGTTGCATATATTTTCTCCAGCTCAGTGTTTGTATTTTAACTTTGCCTTTATTAGTTTTTGCTGTGGAATTTTTAATTTTTATGTAGTCAAATTTATTAACCTTTTTATGACTTTTAGGGTTTGTGTCATAATAAAGTGATTCTGCTAACATTACTTCAGACTATTTCTATATTTTCTTCCAGTGTTGTTATAGTTTCATCTTTTACATTAAGAGTTTGAGGCGTTTGAAGGGAAGGAGATGTAACTTAGTGGTGGAAGGCTTAGCATGTGTGAAGCCCTTGGGTTCAAATCCAAGCACCCTTCCTGACCCAGAAAAAGTTCGAGCCATTTGGAGTTACCCAGTAAAAGTTTATCAGATGTTGAGCTAACTTACTTTCTCTCAGAGGTTGTCTACTTACCCCAACAATTTTGTTGACTAATTCCCACCTTTTCTTGCCAGTTTGATAGGGGAAAAAGTATCCCTTTTTTGCTTTCATTTGCATGTATTTGGCTATCCATATATAAATTGGTCTCCATATGTTAACTATTTGTGTATTTTCTTCAGTAAATTTCTATTCATGACATCCACCCTTTATTTCATTTTATTTTTTTCTTCTTCGGTTTTATTGTGGTATGATTTCTTGATGATAGCCATTGTTTCTAGAATAAGATGGAATCTCATTGTTGTTTGAATTTTCATGTCTCTAATAGCTAGAGATGTTGAACATTTTTTCGTGTATTTATTAGCTGTTTATATTAGATGTCCCAGGACGGAGATATAGCTCAGTGGTACAAGCGCCTGCCTGCCAAGTGCAAGGTCCTGAGTTCAATCCCCGGTACCAAAAAAAAAATTATATATTAGATGTCCCTCCCCACAAGCCTAGACACTGATAGGTGGGGCTTGTGGGAGGTGACTGAGTTGTGGGTGTGTGACACCGAACTAGTCTGTTGATGAGTTTATAGCTGGCTATGATGTTGGGAGGTGAAGCCTGCTGGGAAGTGGTGGGTCACTGTGAGCGTGGCTTGGAGGGTTATGTTCTTCTCCTCCCTTGGTTTCTCTTCCTGCATGCCGTGCCATGAGCCAGCCTCCTCTGCCTGGCCCTCTGCCAGGCTACCCTGCCTGGGAGCCAGCTAACTGTGGACTGAAACCTCTACAAACTGAGCCAAAGTAAACCTTTCCTTCTTTAACATGTAGGTACTGGGTATTTTGTCCCATCAAACGAGAAAGTAACTAAAACACATCTACCCTTTTTCTTTTTCTTCTCTCTCTGGGGATGAGGGGATTTAGTTTGTGGTTTTATTGTTATCTGAATTCTTAATGATAGATGGAATCTCACTATTGTTTTAACTTGCATGTCTCTAATGGCCAGAAATATTAAACATTTTTCTTGTATTTATTGACCATTTGTATTTCTTCTTCTGAGATGTACTTGTTCATTTCAGTTGTGCAGCTTGGATTGGGCCTTCTTTTGAGGGGTCTAACCTTTTTGAGTAGTTTATTATATTCTAGCTATTAATCTTCTGTCTGGGAAATAGCTGGCAAAAAACTGTCCCATTCTACAGATTGTCTGTTCACTCTGTTGGTTGTTTGTTTCACTATGCAGAAAGAAGCTTTTTAATTTGATACGATCCCATTTGTTGATTCTTGCTGTTACTCCTTCTGTAATTGGTGTTATGTTCAGAAAGTCTTTGTCTGTGCCTGTGTCTTCAAGAATTTTACCTTGTTTATCTTCCAGCAGATTGTTTCTATGGTCTCGCTATAATTTGGGGTGACCTTGAACTCACTATGTAGTCCAGGCATTTTACTTTATTTTTTGGTTTTTTGAGACAGGGTCTCACTGTGTAGTCCAGGTTGGCTTTGAACTCACTGTGTAGCCCACTCTGGCCTTGAATTTACAGCGATTCTCCTGCCTCAGCCTCCCAAAGTACTGGGATTATAGGTGTGCTCCACCTGGCCACGCTGTTTCAATATTTTGATCTTCAGTCCATTTTGATTTTAGTTTAGCACCTGGTGAGAGATACGGGTCTAGATTCAATCTTATGTGTGTGAGTAGCCAGTTTTCCCAGCACCATTTGTTACAGAGGCTTTCTTTCCTTCAGTGTTTTTGGTCCCTTCGTCAAACATAAGGTAGCTGAATGTGGTTGGAGTTGTTTTTGCATCCTCTACTCTGTTCCACTGATCCACATGTCTGGTTGTTTTTGTGTTTTTGTTTTGCTTTTTTTGTTTTGTTTTCTTTCCGATACCAAGCTCTTTTTATCACTGTAGTATAACTTGAAGTCCAGGATTATGATGCCTCCTGCCTTGTTCTTGTCACCCAAAATTGCTTGCTTTTGCTATTTGAGGTCTCTTGTAGTTCCATTTGAATTTTAGGATTGTTCCCTGTAGTTCTGTGAGGAATAGTGTTAGTATTTTGATTGGGATTGTGTTAAATCTGTTTATCAATTTTGGAAGTATGGCTATTTTGACTATATTGGTTCTGCCTATTTAGGAATAGGGGATATCTTTCCATTTTCTTCTCTTTTCTTTCCTTTTTTTTTTTTTTTTTTTTTTTGGTACTGGGAATCAAACTCAGGACCTTGCACTTGCCAAGCGAGGCACTGTGCCACTGAGCTATATCTCTGGCCTCTATCTCCATTTTTTGATGTCATTTTCCAGAGCAGTGTAGTGTTTTGTTTTTGTTTTTGTTTTTTTCTGGTACCGGGAATTGAACTCATGACCTTGCCAAGCAGGCGCTGTGCCGCTGAGCTACATCTCCAGCCCCTGAGAGCAGTGTAGTTTTGATTGTAGAGTTCTTTCATTTCTTTGGTTAGGTTATTCCCAAGTATTTAATTTTTCTTGATGCTATTGTGAAAGATATTGTTTCCCTAATTTTTTCTTGGTAAGTTTATTATTGATGTACAGGTATTGATTTTTGTGTGCTGACTTTGTATCTTCCTTCACTGCTAAACTGGTTATTCTAGGAGTCTTTTGGTAGAAGTTTGTGTTTGTTTGTTTGTTTGTTTGTTTGTATGAGAAGATCTCCTGCTATGTAATTCAGGCTGGCTTTGAGCTCACTGTGTAACCCAAGCCGGCCTTAAACTCGCAGTGATCCTCCTGCCTCAGTCTCCCAAGTTCTGGGGGTCTTTTATGTAGAGGATCATCTCATCTGCAAATAATGATAATTTGACTTCTTCCTTTCCTATACATATCCCTTTATTTCTTTTGCCTGATTGCTTGGCTAATGTTTCGATTTTTTTTTTTGTTTTGTTTTTTGTTTTTTGTTTTTCTCCGGTACCGGGAACTGAACTCACGACCTTGCGCTTGCCAGGCAGGCACTTTACCACTGAGCTAAATCCCCAGCCCCTTTGGCTAATGTTTCAAAACCTAGTGAACATTGGTAGTGATAGTGAATGTCCTTGTCTTGTTCCTGATTCTATTTATTTATTTTTGTTCTTGATTTTAGAGGGAAAGCTTTCAGCCTCTCCCCATTTAATATGATGTTGGCCATTGGTTCATCATAAATGGCTTTTGTCAGATTAAGATAAGGTCCTTCTCTACCTATTTTCTTCAGGACTTTTATCATGAACATTGGATTTTGTCCAATGCTATTTATGTGTCAGTTGAGATGATCATGTGATTTTTGTCCTTGCTGCTGTTCGTGTGATGTATTATATTTATTGATATGTGTATGTTGAACCATCCATAAGTCCGTGGGATGAAGCCTACTTGGTCATGATGTATGATCTTTTTGACAATTTATTTTACCCTGTTTGCCAGTATCTTGGTGAGGATTTTTGCATCTGTGTTCATTATAGAGGATGGGCTGTAGTTGTCTCTTTTGGTTGAGTCCTTTTCTAGTTTTGGAATCAAGAATGCTAGCTTCTACCGATGACTTTAGGAGTACTCCTCCTTTGATTTTATTAAAGAATTTGAGGAGTGTTGGTGTTAAATTCTCCTTAATGTTCTCACAGAGTGAGTCCATCAGTTCCTGGGCTTTTATTAGTTGGTAACTTTTTTTGATATTTCTTCAGTCTCATTGTCTGATATTGGGTTATTCAGATTTTTTTTATGTCTTTTTAATTCAGCCTTGGTAGTTCATACATGTTTAGGAATCTGTCCATTTCTTCTGAATTCTTCATTTTACAGATTGTCACAGCAGTTACTAATAATCTTCTGGATTTTGGCAGCGTCCATAGTGACTTTGCCTTCTTCATTTCTAATTGATTTGGGTTTTTTTTTCCTCTTCCATATTGGCTAGAAGCTTGTCTATTTTGTTTATTCTTTCCAAGAGCCTACTCTTCGATTTAGTGATTCGTAGTACTATTTTTTTAGTCTCAATTTCATTAATTTTTTCTCAGATCTTTATAATTTCCTTCTTTGTACTAGCTTTGAGTTTGAGTTGCTCTTCTTTTTCTAGGACCTTGAGGTGCATCATTAGATTATATCTTTGTTACTTTTTTGTTGCTGGGACAAAATACCCAACACAAGTTAATATATTTTCCTTTTCTTTTTTGGTACTGGAAATGAAACTCACGACCTCGCACTTGCCCGGCAGGCGCTGTGCCACTGAGCTATATCCCCAACCTTCCAACACAAGTTAAAAGAGAAAAAGTTTATTCTGGCTGACAGTTTGTAGACGTTTCAGTCCAAAGTTGGCTGGCTCCAAGGCAGGACAGTATGGCACGATAGCGGGAAGCAGAGAACCATCAAAGGGAGGGTGGGAGATAGACCCTTGCGGGCCATGCTCCCAGTGAGCCAACCTCTTCTGATCCAGCTTCACCTCCCAACATTGTATTTAGCTGTAAACTCATCAGTGGGCTAATCCACTGGTGACTATTACACCCCCACAATCCGGTCACCTCCCCAAACCCCACCGGTAAGTGCCGAGGCTTTGTGGAAACATCTAGATATAAACCCTAACGGGTTGTTTGTTTGGACTCACTGTTTTTGTGGTGTGGGCGTTGACAGCTATAAACTAGTTCATTGTTTTGCAGGGAGTTTCACATTCAAGGCCTAACACTGAGGACATTTCACTGTGCTATGCTAATCGCTCTGCAGCCCTCTTCCGCCTGGGTCAGTATGAAGTGAGTATCAGGGTGCCTGGTGTCATGCCTGGGACTTCACTGAAGAATGAGACCTCTATCTCCTTTCTTAGAAGACTGAAATCAGGCTGTGCCTGTGTTGGTTGCCTTGGAAACACATAAATACCCACCCAGATTGTGTTCTTTCCCTTGACTCATGTCGCCTGTCAGTGGCTGTGCAGAGTAGTACTGGTTGACAAGAAAAGCTGTGACACACTCTGGTGGCATAGACCAGACCCAGTAACTAGCAGTTCTCAGTGTCAGGGTTGGCTCACTGTGTGATACACTGTCCATAATACTTCAGGGTCTGAGTGCATCCATCATATTTACTTGTTCGTTTATTTAATTCAAACAAATAGAGCATGTTTAAGATTATCCCTGTAATAGTACAGCTTTTCCTTAATAAGCATTGAGTGTGGGAAAGTAAAGGGCATCTTGAAATGCCTGTGAGGGCCTATAAGGTAGGCTTGTCTATGAGTAGCTTTCTTCTCATCTCTTACTGTGGCAACAGAAAAACAATGTTGAGATTGGTCTTAGTGGAGGAAATGACCAAAATCAGATTTATGTTTAAGAAGACACCAGCAAGGCCTCTGAAGTTTACACTGGAGAAGCCTACGAGCTGTACAGCGCCATTTAGTACAGTCATACCTTGGTACTCGTCATTGATGGCTTGGGGGATACAATGGACACCAAAACAATAAATACAGAATTAATAATTTTGTCTAGAAAGTATAGTGAGTCATGAGCCAGATCACAGCTGCACATTCTGGCTTGCCTGTCAAGCACCAAACAAACAACACATACTAGGACAAAATTTTCAAGTTAAAATGCGTTATGTACCAAATTTGAAAAGTTTTTTTTTTTTTTTTTGGTTTTTCTCTGGTACCGGAAACCGAACTCACGACCTTGCGCTTGCCAGGCAGGCGCTTTGCCGCTGAGCTAAATCCCCAGCCCCTAAATTTGAAAAGTTTTGAAGAGAACAAGTACCAAGGTATGACTACACTTCAGAATTCCACCGAAATTCAAATTATACCTTAGAGTTTATATTGGAACAGTCAGTCACAAGTTCATATTTCCTGCCCTTCAGACCAAAAGAGAAGAGTGAGAATCTAACTCTGGGTTATAAGCAAGAAAGTCCTGTGCTACTAAGAACAGGAGTTAGAAGACCTTGCAAAACATTGAATTCTGTATAACTTCCCTATATTGATTGTTTCTGTTTTCCTTCTTCTAATAATGATTCCTGTTTATTGAGCACATAATATATTCCAGGCACTCCTTTCAGCAGTTCAGATAGATTACTTTATTTCATTCTTAAAACAACCTGGTGAGGTATAATCATCCCTGTGTTTCAGATGAGAAAACTAAGACTCTGCAAAATTAAATTCTCGCATAAGGTCATGGATCTGTGAAAGGAATAGTCAGTATTTGAATGCAGATTTGTTTGGATTCAGAGTCTGTGCTCTTAAACTCCCTGTAGTTCTATACAGCTTCTATTTCTTTTTTTTTTTTTTTTTTTTTTCTATTTTTAAGAAAACAAATATTTAGTGAGAAAAATTAAACATAGTATCCTCGCCAGGCATGGGGGCTCATACCTGTAATCCTATCATTCAGGAGGCTGAGGTAGGAGGATTGCCACAAGTTTGAGGCCAGCCTGAAGTATACAGTGAGACCCTGTCTCAAAACCAAACAATTAAAAACAACAAAAAGAACCCAAATATCCTCAACAATTAAAAGATCACACAGCTGATAAGGCTGTAAATCATAGCAGTATCTGCAGAGCCCTCAGAATTGTGTCAGTGGAGGTACGCCCCCCCCCCCCCGCAGAGTTTTTAAAAACAGGAAGTGACCAAAATCAGATTTATATTTAGGAAGAGTTCAATCCCTAACAACCCCCTATAAACACACACACAGTAGAATATAATTTAAAGAAATAAGCTCTTGGTTATATTTGCTCTAATTTTAATAATTCTTAACTGTGCTCACTTCGACAGCATGTATACTAATAACTATCCTGTAGAGTTTTGGAAAGATTTTTCAATACAGTTTGCAAAATAAGGACCAGGGATCATCTTGGGGCTTCCTTTCCGTTTTCAGACCTGTCTCAACGATATCATCAGAGCACTGACCTATGGATATCCAGAAAGACTGCAACCCAAGCTGATGTTGCGTAAGGCAGAATGCCTGGTGACCCTGGGGAGATGGAAGGAAGCAAGCCAAACCATCAGTGATCTAGAAAGTAATTTCACTGCCAAACCAACCCCAGCAGCTTCTGCCTTTCAGATTCTACCGAAAAACCTCTACTGTCTGAAAATGAAGATACAAGAAAAAGAGAACTTCCCAGAAACCTTCCCCACAGCTTTAGCCAAAGACTTTGAGGGTATGGACCTAAGGGAAGAGAATGAACAAATTTCTAGTGCATCATCATCTGTCTGCTTATGCACAGACCCTTTAAAAGGCCGCTATCTGATTGCCACAAGAGACATTATCCCAGGAGAGCTCCTAGTGAAGGAGGATGCTTTTGTGAGTGTCCTCAACCCAGGAGAAATGCCACCACTGCCTCAGGGCTTAGAGAGCAGGTGGGATACCAGAGTTACCAATGGGGACCTCTACTGTCACAGATGTTTGAAGCATACTTTGGCCACGATTCCCTGCCATGGATGTAGCTATGCCAAGTATTGTAGCCAGGAGTGTATGCAGCAGGCCTGGGAGCTGTACCATAGCATAGAGTGTTCTCTAGGGGGGCTGCTGCTCACACTGGGGATGTTTTGCCATGTTGCCCTGAGGTCGACTCTTTTGGCTAGATTCGAAGATGTGGACAAAGTTGTAAGGAGGATTTGTGATGAGATTAATAACAAGGACATAGGTTTACCTGAAAGCAAGACTCCGGTCAAGACATTCAGCTGCAGCCAGGGAAAAAGAGAGGAAATTGGCAAAATAGTTGAAACCCAAATTCCTGGATGTAATCTTAATGGGAAGTATGAAAATAATTATAACGCTGTCTTCAGCCTTTTGCCCCATACTGAAAACCATAGCCCAGAGCATAAATTTCTGTGTGCTCTCAGTGTCTCTGCACTGTGTAGGCAACTGGAAGCAGCCAGCCTGCCTGCCCTCACCACGGGTCTGCGGGCAGCAGTGACTCCTGAATGGTGTGCGGATTTGAACATTTGGGCAGTGGCCATGCTGCGACACTTGTTACAGCTGCAGTGTAATGCTCAGGCAATAACTACCATACAGCACACAGGTAAGGAAGACACCTGGTTTTCTTTTTCTGTTTTGTTTTGCTTTTGTTTTTTTGAGACAGGGTCTTGCTATGTAGTTTAGCCTGCTATTGAACTTTCCATGTACCCAGTCTGGCCTTGGACTCACAGAGATCCTCCTGCTCAGCCTCCTGAGTGCTAGGGTTACAGGCGTGCACTGCTGCGCCTGACTCAGGCAACCTTTTCTGCCTTACACGCTTCTTGGTGTAGCTGCTGTTTGGGAAGGAGGAACTGTAATGGAAAACAGCAGCGTTCAAACAAATTGGAGATGGAGTGAGGAAACAGCTATCTTTTATTATCATCATTATGCCATTGAGAAGCTGTGTGACCTTAACAAATCACTTTATCCTACTCTTCCTTGGTTCTCTCATCTGTCAAATGCACAGTTTCATGTCACTTAACTGTACAGAATTGTGTGTTGGTAAAAATTATTTTAAAAGTTAAAATGCATATAACTTTTTTATTATGAAAGAAAACTGTCTCAAATAAATTATAATAGCAAGTTTGTCATAAGGATATATATGTTTAGGTATCCAGAGAAAACTAAGTAGTTTTTTTTTCCTCAGAAAGGGCAGAAATACTCAAAACACACTGCAGGAAAAAACATGTTCTATTGTTGATTAAGGTATCAAATGCTTAAATCAGCTACTTGCTATCTCTTCTCCATCCAATCGACAATTTTTTTTCCCATTCTTCTAAATCTCCAAGAGAAGACATGGCACAATACAGCTTTTCACACTGATCTACACCATAGGCTGTTGGCCCATCTACATATAGCCTATCCTTTGGTCTGGCCACACATTAAAGGGCCACCTCTAGACACAGAGCAGCCAGCCTCGCCCTAGTTCTGAACAGGGTTCTATAATAAGACTATTTAAACTACATAGGGATCCGGGCATGGTGGCATATGCCTGTAATCCCAGCACTTGGGAGGCTGAGGCAGGAGGATCACCACAAGTTCAAGGCCAGCCTGAGCTGCATAGTGAGTTCCAGACCAGTCTGAACTACATAGCTAGACCCCATCCGTCTTCAAGAAAAAGAAAAATAAATAAAAAAGAAATGATGTTTTCAGTATTTCTAGCGTATGATATCCATTTCTTCAGAAAATATCTTATAATTCTAACACTTTTCTTAACTATTCTAGTTAACTCTATTTTTTGGGGGTTTTTTTTTGGTACCAGGAATCGAACTCGGGACCTTGCGCTTGCCAGGCAGGTGCTCGTGCTGCTGAGCTATATCCCCAGCCCCTAGTTAACTCTTTTTTGTTTTTTTTTACTGGCCTCTAGTTAACTCTTAAAAAGAGGAAACCAGGTGTTAGCTAAACCTAAGATTCATAGACAGAATAATAATCAATGGAGTTTAACTAAACTATATGTGCTTAGCTCTTCTGATGTTTCACATTGGGTAATACAGAACTTATCGAGCTTTTTATGTCTGTATCTTTATGTTTAGTTTTAATGAAGTGGTATAAAGGTATGTAGGTATTTATCTAAGGGAGATATTTTTAGATATAAGACTTTTTTCCCTCATCCTGAAGCACATGGAGCATTGAGAAATAGCACCAGCCTGGTCTTGTGGTGCTACTAAATCTCCAGTTAGTCTCTTTTTTCCTCTTTACCTTTTTTTACTTCTTTGAGCCATTGGTACAGTGATTAATGTTGAAAGTAGAAAAATGAGTGATTCCTACTTTCTTTTTTGGAGTTTTCTGTATTTTTTAAATTAAGAACACTGCCGGGCGTGGTAGCACAGGCACTCGGGAGACTGAGGCAGGAGGACTGCTGCGAGTTCAGGGCCAGCCTGGGCTACAAAATGAGTCCAAGGCCAGCCTGAATTGCACAGCAAAACCCTGTCTCAGGAAAAAAAAAAGATAGATTAAGAACACTATTTACACAAGAGTAACAATATTCCAGTAAATTTTAAGAAAAATTATATACCTTTCCCATCATTATGGGGGGAAAAATGTGCAGAGCAAAAGATAATAAAAAGAGTCTACAATAGTAAATACAAGTGGGTTAAACTCTCCTATTAAAGAAGTCTTTCAGAATGAATCAAAATTTTTACTTTATTTTATTGGGGGTTGGGTGTCTCACTATGCAGTCCAGAATGTCCTTGAACTCACTATTATATTGAGCTTGGTGTGGTGGTGCACACCTGTAATCCCAACACTTGGGAGGCTGAGGCAGGAGGTTCATTCTGAATTCAAGGCCATCCTGAACCGTATAGCAAGACCCTGTCTCAAAAAGACCAAAAAAGAAAGAAAAAAAAAAAACCCTCACTATTATAGCCCAGGCTGGCCTTCAGCTTGCTATAATTGTCCTGACTCAGCCTCCTGAGGGCTGGGATTACAGGCATGTTTCTCAATTCCTAGCTCCAAAAAACTAAAATCCAATATACTGCATTTACAAGGGACTCCCATAACAAAATATTGCAAAGTGTTTGGCAAGTTACATCAGGAATCACAAACAAAATAAGATTCTGGTATTAATATGAAACTGTAGAACTCAGGGTAAGATAGCTAGTAAAACAAAGACAACATTTCATTTTTATAAAGGAGACTCTTCACATTGAAATATATCATCAACCTCAGCTCTCAGAAACACAGAGATTGTATCTATAAAACAAAAACAGTGAAGTATACAGGAGAAGTTTGGCAAAAACTCCATTGTTGTGAGAAAATTTAATATACCATTCTGACTTTGATCAAATATATTAAGAGCCTAGAAACCAAGATAACATAATAAACCTGGGGATTTAGTAGATATACCGGTCTGACAAAGCTTGTGTCCCACAGATCATAAATCACAGACGTTTTCTATAAAGGACCAGTAGTAAATATTTTAGGGTTTGCCAGCCTTATGGTCTCCGAGGCAGCTGTTCGGCTCTGCCGTTAGCACGAGAGCTACCAGGCGGTACGCAGGCAGTGGGCGTGGCCGAGTTTCCACAGAAGTTTATTATAGACACCAAAGTTTAAATGCTTGTAATTTTTCACACATCAGAATTATTCTTTGGGGAAAAATATAAAAGCCATTCTTAGACCATAGACTGTACAGAAACAGGCAGCAGACAGGCTTTGGCCCGCAGCCTGCAGTTTATAGATTCTGGTATAGACAGAGACCTGGCCCATCTAGGAAATCTGTTTCAGGCAAGGGCTCCCATATAATTAGGAACAGTGAAGGAGATGCTGTGCAAGTTCTTTTTATCTCTTTTAGTTTTGTTCGTTGGGGGAGGGGGTTGTTTGTGGGACAGTGGGACAGTGTCTACACTGGCTATGAACTTAATATATAGCCCAGCATGGCCTCAAACTCACAGCCCTCCTGCCTCAGCCCCCTAAATGCTAGGATTACCAGCATGTGCCTCTGCACCCAATAAATTCACTTTTAAATTAAAAAAAAATGTGATGCTAGGCAGTGTTGTACAAGCCTGTAGTCTCAGCTTTAGTAAGAGGATTGCTGGGATCCAGGAGTTCAGGGCCAGCCTGGAAACATAGCAAGATCTTGTCTCCTTTAAAAAAAAAATAGCAACACAATTTTAGAGTATCAAATTTGAGAACAGTAAGTAGACAGCTTTTAGGAAATACAAATTGCTTTAAATTGTCCCAGAAGGAAGAAAACACTTAAAAAATAACAAAACAGTAATTGTGAAAGAATCAATTTATTAAAATATTTTCATAAAAAGGCAGCTGTGCTGGGCATGGTGGCACATGCCTGGGATCCTGGCATTCTGGGAGGCTGAGGCAGGAGGATCTCAAGTTTGGGCCTAGCCTAAGCAGCTTAGCAATTTAGTAAGACCCTGTCTCCAAATAAAAAAGGGCTCCAAATGTAACTCAGTGTAAATGTTCTAGGTTAAATCCCCAGTACTGCACATGCCAAAAAATATTTTAAAAAAGAAAAGTTAAAAATTAGGGGTCCCTAGCCAGTTGTCCAGCTATGGTTGTACACATCTTTAATTCTAGCTACTTGGGAGGCTGAGGTGGGAGGATTCCAAGTTGAAGGCCAGGCTGAGCAATTTAGCAAGACATCAATTCAAATGAAAAAATGAGGGCTGGGATATAGCTCAGTGCTCCATGGGTTTAATTCCCATTGGGGGAGTGGGGGGTGGGATGAGGAATTTCTGCATAGCTCGGTGCCTGATGAGTGGCACACCCAGAGAAGGGATGAGGGTTTCTACCCTCCCCACACACCCTGTGCATCTCTCTGTCTGTACCCTTTATTGTATGCTTTGCAGTAAACGAGTGAGCATGTTTGCAAGGATCCATACTGAAGAACTGAATTGCTACAGGTCCTCTCACTGAGCACCCCAGCCACCTCTGGCCCCCTTCCACAGAATCCTGCTTGCCACAGGCAACCCTGGACACAGGCCGGCTCCCGATGATTGGGAGAACAATAAACAGGCACTGTGTATACCAGAAAGAACAAGATAGCTTTTTCTGTAAGGAAAGATATACAAGATCTGTTTCTAAGTGGGAAGGAAACAACCTGCAGTATTCAGGGTATGATACCGTTATGTAAAAATTTAAAACAGATTTTAAAGTTTAAAAATTAAACTAACATATTGAAAAAGGTAAGTGACCATTTATGCAGGCTTAGGATGGGACAGGCTTCTAAAAGTATATAACATCAAATTTTAGCAACTAAAAGATAGTTTTAACTTTCTAAATGCCAAATACTGTATCCAAAACACCATAACAGATTCAGGTATGGTGTCCACACACTTGTAATCCTAGCACCCTGGAAGGCTGAGACAAAAGATCCCAAGTTTTGTTTTGTTTTGTTTTGTTTATTTTAAAGAGTAGAAGAAGGATAACATAGTAATGGGGGGGCTTACCAAATTACAGACAAAGTGGTAGGAAATTATCAATGGTTATTGTTTTACGTATTGATATCTACAAGATAATTTCTCAGGAAAACAAATAGACAAATAATAGTGAGTTACAGACAAAAGAGGTAAGAGATTATCAATAGTTGTTGTACTATTTGGTATTTTC